TGTCGTAGGACAAAATAGCACATAGCTTTCGAAGTTGGCTTTTTGAAGAATGGCAATGACTTCTCGATCACTAGAGCATTTGAGGAATTCAGAGCAATCCAGATTCATGGGACAGAGTTCGCTCTGCTGTAAGATCACCCTTGTCGAATGTATAACTACACAATGTCTTTTACTTCCTTCAATTATGAAGCTAATACGAGGTTGTTATGAAATTCTTATTCGGCTAACGTTTTGTTGCCTTCACCTTTTTGAGATCCCAGTCATAATAGCACATAGCGTCTATCCATAATAATTAGTCAGTGTGGGTCTTCGCAGTTGCATCGAGCTTTCTTTTAATTCCAGATATGCTTAGAAATACAACTTTCAAAAACCGATGACGAATTTTAAATTTTTTAAATTTCCAACGCACGTGTGATCCTGCTAGACGACATCCGACTTATTCATTCGCTTTTATGTTCCGAATCCGAGACATGAAGAAGTGGGAAGAGAAATATACATTATGAGCTCCAGAGAATCATAATATTAATAAAATTATAAAGCTTTCGACTTTGATCAATCCCTGAGGTATGCGCCATGCATTCGACTTCATCAAGTATCGTAGGAGGTGATTGAATGCATATCTGGCTTTTACAATAACTCGCGGTGGCCTACCGATATATCGAACCAGTGCTGCTATTTTCTCAGACAAGTCTGATACTAATTTGCCGACCCCGGATGGATGAAAGGCTTGGTGGGCGATGGGCTCGAGGATCAATTCCACTTTGTGTTGCAAGACGCCTCCGACTACTGCCCCACACGCGCCCGTCATAATGTTATCACGGCAAAATAGGAAGAACTTCTGTTCCATAAATGTAGATCTTCAGATTTCAATCCTTTTCATTTCAAGAAACGAATATTATTATGGGCTAAAATGTGTTGGTTTGAAGATGAAAGCGGCCATTATTTTCGCATGGGATTCATTGCGTTCAATGCATTTTGATCGTTATCTGTTAATTACGTCAACATCGTTAATCCACTCATTCAGACATACAAATATGCGAATTAAATAAGATTTGTCCCCGTTACAAAGCGGATGCATAAAGCGCTCTAGTGGACAGCATCTATCTACTCATAGGGCTTTGTAGCACTAATTCGATCAGTTTCGAAAAGAAAAATTGCTACAAATTCCATTCATGAGAAAATTTTGTATTTGATTTACGAGATTTGACCCTAATGAGATTACTTTGTGAGTCCTCTCCTTAAGTGAAAATCTACGGCTACAGCGAAACAACTCGTTCTCACCAGCCATTACGATTGAGCTAGTTTTTGACAAACTTTTCAGTTAAAATCAAAAAACAACATTGAGAAAACTCCTCGGTGCTATTATAACGGAGGAAAGACGAAAAAAACGTTTAGGCCAGAGTTTCATCTCGTTGTTGCCGTTCTCCTTTTAACGCTTTACCGCTTCATCGTGGCTGGGAGGTGTTCCTGAGTTCAGGACTGCGATGTGTAGCGGGGAGATTCATCCCCCCGCCAGGGTCTCCCAAGCTGAGCAGGAGTCCTGCGTTTCCATCGGGACGCTCAGCTAAGAGTAAACCAATACCAGAATCTACCACCGTCCTCAAACTAGTCGTATGGTGGCAAATCTCCATCATCTAATCCACAAGGGCTGCGACTGCCTGTAGTGGCGAAGACCTGGGGCTGACTTTGGCCAGGCTAACCTCGGGATTCCAAGGAACCACAATGGCGTAACCAGCAAATCTCCGGAGAATGGAAATTATTCTAGGGCACGCACAACTAGTGAAGACGGGCCATCCAACTACCAAAGTAATATATATACATGCATATATATATGTAGTTTGAGTTTCGATCGAAGTCATTCGGACCTCTAATCGACCAGTAAACGCTGACTACGACGAGAGCACTGAAAATACTCATTGACACTTAAGACAAGGTTTGTAGACAAAATTCTTGCTACGGCCATAGTTTGTAGTGAGCTTCAAATTTTATAAAGGGAGCTTAAATTAATGGGTTAAAACTTTTCTCATTTCTCCTCATTTAACCATAGCGGTGTTGAGATATTTGCAAAACTCCGGACGGCAGGTGTCGACGATGGGGATCGAACACGCTACTACCCAAAAATTGTGGTAGGCAGTCACTCAAGTTAAGGAGAATGGCGAATGAGAACTGAATGCTTACGACAGGCCACGAGAACAAAGAAAATCTTAGAACGGCATTACCCAGTGTCCAAAATGCGAAACTAAAGTGTCAATGAGCGTAGTAATCTCTATGGGGCTCATTCACCATCGTGGTTTTCGATATTAGATCCTCTAAAAAAACGTTTACTTCGGGGAACGTTTTACGGTGGAGCCCATAACAATACACTGTGAAGTATGTTCCAGAAAAATAACGTCGCTAATAGCAAAGTAACTATACAACAAGAAGACTTCTCATCAGCAACCACGTTGCATTTTCGACTAGGCTGAACTTTGACCTGGAACAGATTTCGTTTCTTTGGAATCCACATTGGGACAATCGTTCGACTACCTCCCTTATTTTATAATTAAGATTTATGAAAGAGAACAACAGAGTTTCCGTAGCGGCACAAACTCTCAATGGATTATCTACGCCATACAGCGCAGACCAGCTGACTATTCTGTCCTACATTATGACGAAGAAAACAGAGTTGATCGAACTTTGAAGGAAGATGCCATGCATCTTAGAGATGATTGGATGCATATAATGGCACTTATTGACATTTCAAGCCCGAACTTCTATCTTCCCAAACAGTTACGGGAGAACAAATTTACCGAATCCAAATTCGCGTGCAAAGTCGAACCAAAAATCGGCGATTATTGAAAGAACGCTGCGCCACATGCATTTTATATTTGGAATGCAAAAGCCATAGATTATCTCATATCTGCATTGTCTTCGCTTCAATACTAACGCTTTTTGTTATATCCCCTCATAAAGATGCCGTTCCACTGGGTCCGGTATCGGTTTCGCTTCACAGGCATGTATATATATATATATATATATATATATATATATATATATATTTAGTTTGAGTTTCGAAGTGTCGTAGAAAAAAATAGTCTTCATGCACCTGCGAAATCGAAATGAAGGACTCGTTGGTTATTATAATTGCCTTGAAGTCGCTGTGTTGATTCACTACTCTGTCAGAATTCGCAATGGAGAAATAACAGAAAATATGACTGCCTATCAGTTGCCCTTCTTAGACGAAATGTAAGGCAAAGAGTGACTTAAATGGACTAAGAATCCATTGCAGTGAAGAGTACACCACCTCAAGAATTCCGCACGTTAGGTACAGAGTACAGAACGACGCCTTCTGAGATATAACCAGCACACAACCTCTAGCTAGTCTCTGCAGTTCCTTCAAACATACTCTCGTTTTCTGGAATTATTTAAATATTACTACGAGAAAGCTATAGAGACAGGCTATCGTGTGTTGAACAGAGTTGACTACAGATGGACGAAGTGGATGGTAGAGTAGACCATTTATGAGACGAGGATCCGCTAAGATAGCCACTTACAAGTTGGGCGGAAGTGTTTGTTGCTGACGATAACCAGCTATATTCATAGCTAAACAGTATTTAGGGTTTCACGGACATACCCAAAAATTTCCATGCTGAAAGCAGACCACTACCGTGAACGGTTAGTCGTACTGGCAGTGGTGCTAAATTTCAGTTCGGTTTTGGTAAGGCAATTCCCGCCAGTGGTGGACGACATTCAGCTTTCAGAACAGCTATATGCAAAGTTACGGTGAACGATTCGTTTACTCTCTTTTTCAAGTGTTTTGGTTCCTTGTCATGAATCATTTGGTTAAATGTTTCTTTCAATCAGCCCAGAGTCTTTGTTTAATAAAAGACCATCGAATTCTAAGAACTATCAAAATGATGATCCACGAAGCTCTTCCCGTTTTGGGTGCGGGTTGAGCTGCTGGTTACGGATTTTTCTTTCGCCATGACTATTGCTGAATGCTGATGGAGTTGATTCTCCTTGGAGTCCTGAAATAGCCGTGCTAAAGCATTCATACTCTGATGGCAGAAAGTGACCTTTTCCCATACAAGTCTGGTACAATTTCTCCGTGAGGTCGAACTAACACTGTGCTAGGTGTATGTGTACATATATATACATATATATTTGTATACGTATATATGTTACGCTCCACGAGAATGCGAGCGTCTCTTAGAGGGGTCACCTACCGCAATCGTCGTCCATGGTGGTGGCTTTATTCCAGCATGTAGCGCGTGTGAGACTCATACCGTGACCTGTAGAACAAATGCAGCTGGGAGTACAGCTGATTAACCTTGCTTACGAACACATGCGCCCAATGCGTAGGTGGCCGTCCCAGGGAGCTCTTGCATTCTCGTGGTGTTGGGTATAAGCATACATGTATATGCTGTATATATATATATATACATGTATCTATGTATATGTATATACATGTATGTATATACATATACATATTGCAGCCGTACTCCTCACCGTTTCGTGAATATTCCACTCAATCATCGGGATTCATCGACGTCGAGAGCTTTATCCTTTATCGTTTATAGAAATGTGCTAGGTCGCATTGCAAACTGGTCACATCTTTCCGCGCTCCACAGTCATTGTGGCTTGTTCCCATCCTTAACGCGCCCATTTGAGATAGAGAGTTGGCTCTTAAGTCGTCATGTAATAGGGTTATTTTGTATTCTGAGCGGTATTTCAAAGCTATTTAGAGGACGCCGTAAGTCACGCTCATCTCTCTTCCCAGGGATTTATGGTTTTAGTTAGAAGTACTCCTATATTTGGAGCCGTTGTCTCCTTCAGTGCTCTTGATTCTTCTAGGTAAACGTAGATTCTCTGAGTTTATGCGTGATACCGTGTGTTGGAATAGCTGTTGAGCTATAGGGAATTTCTGAGACTTCATGATAGCCGATGTGATGAATTTCTAGTTCGCTTTTGCATACCATTCTTGCGACACTTTTTCTTCGTTGTGGCCAATATTCTTTCAGATGCCGCTCATTAAACGAGCGGTCTCACCTGTGGATGTTAGTCGAGTGAAGATACCACCTGAAGTCACTAACGGTGAGCTCCAGTACGTGGCGAATAGCACGTTGGCGAATCTGATTCGGCAGTTGAGTTCGATCAGCAAACATGCCGAGCATATCTTCGGCGAGATTTACCTGGAAGCGATGAAACTCGACCACAAGGCCAACACCCTTGAGAAGCGCATAGTGAATCTTACGGAGAAAGTATCGAAATTGGATTCGACTAATGAACAAGGTGAGCACCTCTTCAATGAAGACGGCTCTCCGATTCCATGTCTGTTCTTTTTCCTCTCTCCCATTTTGTTAGTTTGTCATAGTACTGTTTAGACCTTGTCTTTTCTTTCTTCAATCAGACAGTGCAACGTCTTGCTGTTCTTTGTCTTCAACTTTTGCAGTGTTGGTGTATAATTGAACCGGGACTTATCCTTCATCAATATTCATCCCTTTGAGAATAACACAGTTTTTGCTGGCATTTTTTGACTATTCTCATTGATAGCTACCTTGGGTGAACTTCAAATGAGGAAGGCCTTCAAAAGTTCGATGCTGGTGGATCAGCACTCGCTCGACAGGAGCACCTTGCCGATCGCGCTAGCAGAAGTCTACTCGCAGTGCGATCCTCCACCCAATCTCGATGCTCTCAATCAGTTCAGGTAAAATTTATCCTCCTTGTCCCTTCCGGTGAATGTAACGAACTTTGACTTAAATGTAGCATTTAGTTTCACTTGGATACTGGTATTCTCGGTAATAATTAAATGATCTGAACAGCGTTAGCGAAGCTCTCATTCATTGGTGTTTCCCACTAGAGCTACCCTGTTGGTTGATTTCGTTCAAGAGATACGAACACTGTTACCTATTTTTAATGAAGACTTTTGTTGTTACTCTTTGGAGAAGGTAACCAGGGTTACATCACACAGCACTCCTGTGGGCAGGGTATGCTCATTTATAACCACAACGTTGCTGAGATATTTGCAAAACTCTGGACCGCAGGTGTCTATGGTGGGGAACGAACGCGTTATTGTCCTTTCCGGGAGTAACGCGTTCACCACCATACCATGCGGGTCCTTCGTTTCGCCTGTCTCTCAGCTATTTCTATCGATCTTTTTGCCACAGCAATCACCCGTCAGCGGGGTTGATCTGGGGAGCGCAAATCGGCATAGAGCCCAGTTAAGCTATGGCTGTAGTTGAAATCACAATGTTTAACGTTTTGTTTTCTGCCTTCTATAATTATAATAATTATAATAAATATAATATAAGAGTTTTGCAAATATCTCAGCAACGTTGTGGTTGTATTTCGCTTAGTAACCTGCCATGAAAATTATAGAAGGCAGAAAACGAAACGTTAAACATTGTGATTTCAACTACAGCCATAGCTCATTTATAGTTTATTTCACTCCAAACAGGTCACACCGCGGGTCTGTGACACCGAATCCTTCCCTTATTCCACAATTGTCCTCAATACAAGTTCCTTTTTTCGCCGCCATTTAACCGCGTGTTTGCCAACCACGGAAAGGCGAGACGAATAGCTTCCTGGGTATTCTTTATATTAGGAACAATCGTGGACTTTGGCAACATTATCACAGATTTTGTCCTATTTTTGCATTCCGTTCTAAGTGGGAGCTTTTTCGCTATACTTATAGTTTGTTAAGGGATCCTGGTGCACCTACTGCATTAAGCCTGTACACCAATCCGTCATTCTTCTTCGATCTTTGGAGGCAAGAAATGCTCAAGGTAGTATGCCACCATCACTTATACATAGATTTTAGCCACTGCTTTCAATAATGGATTCATTTCGTTTGCAGGACTGCGCAGACAACAGTTCAAGACGACGCATGAAGTCTCCAACGGAAGGTACTGGCGTCATGAAAAGTCCAAGAAGGCGTCGACAGCGCACACAGCCACAGGAAGTTTCTAGACAAGAAGCTGCTAGGTAGGTTCACCGAACAGTTTTTTATCCAAGAGGATGTCTATTAGGCTCATCGTAATGTGCCTTTTTGTCTGCTGTATACATCATTTGAAATGATTATTCCCAAAATACCCTAAAGGCTGAGGGAGAGGAGAGACGTACTCAATTTTTGCAGACAAACACTTCCTCTCTGACCGTTTCCACAATTACTTTGACGATAGGGTTATTTCTGCTATCAATATTTCGCAGTTTGTTGTCTATTCGAAGTATATGCAGCATTTCAGAACATATGTTTTCTTCTGTTCTGTTTTCAGATACATATCTTCACTCCACAATTCGCGCACCACTGCACTTTCATTTCCGGATGAGTACCAGGCACCGCAAGTACTTGGGTTGCAGCTTCACAAAACTAACCAAATTCAACACTTTCAGGTGAATGGGTTGTGTTGCAATCGTAATTTTAGACTGAAGAATGTCTCCGTGTATAGCTTTTACTAACGTCCATATTTTTAGCCTTCTAAACGACCATTGAAATTCTACAAACCACGTGACTTAGTTGTTTAACACGTGGACAACCGCCTTGGTTTTTCAATAACTACGGCAGTGGATAACTTTATGACATACTTAATTACTTCGATACTGGATGCTCCGTCCTCACTGGTTGTGCGGGCCCCTGCATAATCACCATTTTTCGGACATTTGCTGTTTAAGCCATTGTGGTTACCTGGAATCCAGAGGTCAACCTGGCCAAAGTCTACCCCAGGTCTTCACCACCACGGGCAGTCGCAGCCCTTGTGGATGAGGAGATTTGCCGCCATGCTACTAGTTTGATACCAGACGGTTGTGGATCGTGGTATTGGTTCACTCTTAGCTGTGCTTACCGATGGAAACACCGGACTCTTTCTCAGCTTCGGAGACCCTGCTGGGGGTGGGGGGTTTGAATTCCTCCACTGTACATCGCTGCCTGACACCCAGGAACACTTGCTAGACACGGTTATGCGGTAAACCGTTGGGAGAACTTTATGACATAGCAAACGTAGATAAGATATTTGCAAAACTTGGACTCCACGCCAGATTGAACCACGATTTCCCTTGCCGGGGCTCACGTGTTGCACACTACGGGCTTTACTTTGCCTTTCTTTTATTTTGCAAATATCTCAGCATCGTTGTGATATCATTTCACATATTACCCTACCGTAAAAAATTGCAATAGGCAGAAATAAAAGTTAGCTTTGTAAATAAGACAATTCGTCCTAAAATTTCTAGAAATTTAAGAAGGATTTCAACATGGGAGCAATAGCTGCCGACACCAGCGACGAGGAGAAAAGGGAAAAAAGTGATCTGCGGGGACCAGGACCCTATTATCTAATCACAGTTGAATAGCTAAATTTCTAATTTGTTAGGAAATATGTGTAGATTCTGAAGTATTCTCTGCTGATATGCGTTTTTGCACCCTGTTCGAGTACGTTCTAGCTATGGTTCAAACGAACGTTGAAATGTTATGATTACTCAGGTCTTTCGTTTTAATAATACGAGATTCTTTCAGCCTGTGCAGACCTCAGCACCGCTCCAGTTAACTGGAATGAATATACGAACTGCTCCTGTTGTCGACAATCGACAACGAAGCACCCTTTCTCCACCTAAGGAAATAAGAGTGAGGTTTTAGCATCTTTCCACGTGCTGATTATAACATTCTCATAACGTTCTTATTCACAGCTTGCTACTTTTAGTAGCGGGTTTTCGAAAGTCGTTTTTCCAAAATTCCCACGTATTTCTATTAGAATCTTGTGTTCATCAGAATTGTACATGTTTTGTTAGCGAATTGAAATCTACTCGCGCATTCTTATCGTAGTGATTTTAGCGAGAACTTCCACCTCCGGATATTGCCCTTTTGTCAATTGATGACGAGGATGAAGAGTTGCCACCACCACCACCAACTCTGATGCACACTAGTGTTGTACATCATTTACCGTCCCCTTCACCTAGTACGATTCAACTTGTGCCAAGTGATGCTCAAACTGTGAGTGTTCTTATTAACTTCTATTAATGGTTAATAACATAGTCTTGGTGACAGCAACCTTGAAGAGTTTTGCACTTGGCGGCTATTCCGGATCTCCAAGGAAAAAGTGCTAAAGCAGCAGAGTGGTAGCCAATGAATAATTGTTGTAGCGTTCAGTATGAGGAGGTGGGCTATTCAAGTATCCATGTTAAAGATTCGTGTCGTTTAGGTCGCTCCACCAGCGCCACCACCTCCGCCACCGCCGAATCTCATTGCTGCGACTGCTCCATCAGCAGCGACATTCGGTGGCTCCACGAAGGTAAAGCGTGTTGCGAGAACGTACAGATCTTTTTTTGACACTACCATTGTTGGGTTATCTTTGCTTATACAATTCGATGTAGAATTTCTATCGGAACCTATTTGCTCACTATTTCAAAGCAGTCGAAACTTTGGTTGTCGCAAATTTTCCTGATTCAGCCTGCCATGGAGTCTGAGGAAGAGAAGAAACCAAGTACTCGAAGCAGTCTGCTTGCTGAGATTCAAAGTGGAATAAAGTTGAAGAAGGTTTGTTTGCTGCAAATTTTATCGGTTCATCGACTTTGGGAGCGTATTTCAGTGGTTTTTCAACATCACTTATATCCGTTCCTTAAGCTTTCCTTTCACTGTTTACCGCGGTTTGATACAAAGTCCTGTTTTCGATCTTGTTATTTTTTACTCTTTATTATTCTGCCGCTTGTTTATAATGCCTAGTTTTTCTTTTTTGATTTTGGATCATCTATTTGCCATATTCTGTTCAAATAATTCTACTCTTTTACCGTTTCCTAGCAACTGGAGTCTTTTTTGCATGTGTAATTATTGCTATTTGCTTATCCTATATTCAGTATAATAAATTGCATTAGAAGGAAACCCTGTGGACTATTTCTATGCTTCGTTTTAAGGTACGCCTCGCTGAAGAAGCAGCAGCTGATAAAGCTGCTGCTGAAGCGAACGATGTGGCAGCAATACTGAAACGACGAATGGAGCACGTGATGGGCAACGACGACGAGGAGTCTCAGAGTAGTGGTGATGATGATGATGACTGGGAAGACTAGTTTCGTTTGTATTGCTCACAGTTATTTCTTCTTCCGATGGACCTAGTTACGAAATGTTACATTATATTTTAGTTCGAGAGCGATTAAATCTGGTTAGGTTTGCATTCAAGTCGCACTATTTTGGTGACTGTCATGTAAGCTTGATATTTGTGCAATGCATTTGGGAACGTCCTGGTTTCTCGAAAACCTCCAATGTCTTTGCGATAACTAGAGCGCTGAAAGAATTGATAAGGACATGTGGAAGATATTTCGCTCTGTTGCTGAAACGACACTTTTTTTTACAAATTTAACCCCGAATTTAAGTATGACTGGAATTTAATTCTTCAAGAAATGAGAAATGGTGTTCAAAATTTCGAATTCCTTAACGCAGGGTAGAAGTCACTAATATTAACAGTTTGTTTGGATTAGACAACATCCCGTCTGTGCAACTACTGCGCTCTTCGAAATACTGTTTTTGGCTTCAGATTGCGAAAATGTATCTTGTGAGCTCTAAAAAAATTAATGTTTCATTACGCTAAAATAGGAAAACATAGCTATAACGATGCTGAGATATTCGCAAAACTTGGACCTCGGGCCAGATCGAACCACGACAACACTTTCCCGGGACTTGCGTATTACACAGTGCATCACTGAGACTCTTGCTTTGCGTTTCTTCCAGCTAGTCTTCTGCCTAACGCTGCTAGACAAAGATCTGTATACCCTGCTGACTTTTAATTCACGTGATCAAGTTTGCTACGAGCTGAAATATGTTTGTTTGAAATTGGAAGGCGGAATTATTTTCAGACTCGTGCACATTAAAATCGTCTCATACCATTATTAACATGTTACTTATTTACTTATGTACTTGGATGGCCCCTCTTCACTGGTTGTGCGGACCTCAACATAATCTACATTTTTGCGGAGTTTTGCTGGTTTAGCCATTGTGGTTCCCTGGAGTTGCGAGGTCAACCAGGCCATAGTTTTGGCCCACTAGCATGTTAACATTGTTAATTTTGTACTCAGGACTTTGATGTTTATGGCCTATGCTATCTTATATTTCTGCAGTCACCATCATTACGCAGTTTTATTGCTCATTTTTGTTAAAATAGTAGTACATTTCACTGTTTGAATTATTCTGATTGCCTTTCCTTTTGTAGATCCATTATCGAGCTTGTTCGTTGTTACTGATGATTGTTCATTTTGGTCGTCGTATTTATTTCTCCACTATTCAGATTTTCCCTAAATCAATGTTTCCTTTAATGATTCAGCTAACACGAGATTGTTATAGAAAGTCTTATTCAGCTATCGTCTCGACACCTTCTCTTTTTCCAGAGCCGCAATCATGAAAGTCGACCATCCACAGCCGTTCATTCATACTGTGTGGATCTCGAATCCAGTAAATTAAAGCACGACCCGAATTAAGTAGCTTAGTCGGCAGTGCCATTTTATACAGAACGGCTGTCAATCTATTGCTATCCAACATGATCTGCTTCGTTGCAGGCCATGTATCCTGCAGCAGTCGTTGCCACTATTAACTGCTACGGAGTGTAACACCATTTCGAACTAACATCGTGTTAAGTGAATCATCTAAGAAAAAATTGATTAGTCATGTTACAGTTAGAGAGAAGTCAGTTTTTTATTTTTACTGCAGTTGTAACTATAGGTATTGCCGTCCTTTCACTTAGATGGTTCACTAGCAGTCTCCTTGTTATGTTGTCATCACGGTTTGCAGTTGTCCCATTTCTTCTTTTTTTCTTTTATAAAGGTAACATTAAGAAATATGGGTTAAAGATTGTGAGAAACTGCGTCTCCATTAATGACAATTGCTTTATTTTATGAAGAGTAATATATCAAGTCACAATGTGAACTTTCTTATTTCCTGCCTCCTATAATTCTTCACGGAAGGGTACTATGTGAGGTACAACCATTATGATGCTGATATAGTTGCAAAACTCCGGACCACAGGTGTTTGCTGTAGGGAACGAACGTGCTATTACTCTTTCCGAGGGGCAACGCGTTTACCACCACATCATGCGAGTCCTTCGTTTCGCTCGCCTGTCAGCTAGTTTTCTATCAACCAATGCCACTAGCAATCACCCGTCAGCGGGGTTGATCTGCGGAGCATAAATCGGCATTGAACCCAGTTAGCCGGAGGGTGGAGTTGAAATCACGGTGTTAACTTTTGTTGACGGGTGGTTTCTGACGGCATTGGCAGATAGAAAACTAGCTGGGAGGTGGGTGAAACGGGGAACCCGCGTAGTGTGGTGGTGAACGCACGCGTTGCCCCTCGGAAAGAGTAATAGCGCGTTCGCTCTCTACTGCAGACACCTGCGGTCCGGAGTTTTGCAACTATATCAGCATCATCATGGTTATATTAAGATATCTGAAACGAGAACATGGCACACTTTTTGCGAAGGTCACGTTATGGT